AGAGAATATTTAAGGAGCTGCATGAAGCATCCTGCTCTAGGGAAGGGGTAGCCAGGGAGGTTCCAGAAAGAAGCACTAAGGGAAATTAAAAATCTTTCCCTCAACTCTTCATAATTGTTGTGGGTTTGTTCTTAACATGACTGCATTGACTTAATGCTAAGCAAGACTTGTACATAGTTAGAAGCAGAAAGTCTTGTTGGGGAGGTGTGGGGAGGGGTGTAGTAGAAGACTCTGGAGAGTTTTCTGCCTGAGGGAAGGAGAGAGAAACAGATAGCAGGCTGTCTGTGCCCGGGAACACTTACTCTGTACCTCGTCTGTCTGAGACACTCTGAATATAACTAAGTGGCGCAGATAAGGTTCATGGCTTCATGGAATTTGTAGCCCTGGGAAATATTGTACCATGGAAGCACATAGAAGGACATTCAAGTCAGGTTTAGGGAACTTAGGCAGTTTTCTAGAGAACAGGCTGTTTAAGCAGAAACTGAAAATATATGAATGGGAAAGGGGGAAGGAAGTGTTTTAGCCAGGGCCACCAGCATGTGCAAAAGCCTGCAGGTGAAAGGCAGCAGGGCACACTCACAGATGTGAAAGCATTTCGTTGTGGTTGGAAGGTGGGAGAGGATGCCAGAGAGGGAATGGTGCGAAGACTGGACGTCAGATACTAGAGGACCTCCTTTAGCCACATGAAGGAATTTGATCTTTGATATCAATGCAATGAAAGCCTCTGAGTGACTGAGTGGAGGAGTGTCCTGATCAGATTTGTGTTTTATGAAGATCCTCCTTGGTTGCCGACTGGACAGAGGACTGGATGGGGCAAACCTAGGGATAGGGAAGAGGAGAGAGGAGCAGAAGGGACTTAAAATCCACGTGAGACAATGTTTGGATGATGATGGAGCAGAATGTTGGAAGAGAGGTGGTGACGTCAAGAGATGATGAGGTAGGTAGACTAGCAGGATTGAATGAATCAAAGGATGGAAGCAGTGAGAGAGAGAGAGAGAGAAAAGGATTCAAGATGGCCTGCAAAGCCTCTGGCTTAGGAGTCTGGGTGGCAACTTTCCATTCTTTATGGTTTGTGGATAGCATTACGGTTGGCAAAGCTGCCTGCTAAACCCTGACCATCAAGAACTCCAGGCATTGACCTCCCAACTGGTTTCCTATCCTCCACGCCCCATCTTCTTTGGGAAAGCACTTTTGTAGGAAGGCTGAAAGACTCAGCTGGCTCTAAAGTGCTGTAAGGCTGTTCATGAGAGGTCATCCATTTTGGTCTTATTTTATTTTCTGGGATGGGATAAAGAGAACTGTAGAAAGTTTATTCTGAAAATAAAAACTTGCCAGAGATGATGACTTCCCATAGGATGTAGATTATTGAAGCAGTTTCTTTTTTGGTTTTCTCAACTTTTTGTCTACAATCAGCTACATTCTTGCCAGGGGGCTGTTCTTAAAGCATGCTGTTTCATGGTCTCCAGTAGTTCACGTTTCCATGTTCTTAGCAAAATATTCTATACAGATTTTGGGAGAAGAACAGAAGTAGAGATGCATCTTTTATTGGCGGTAGTTTTATGAATAATAGAAAGCCCTTTTGTGGGTTCCTGTCCTCCAACTGTGGATTCCAGGGAAATTCTTGCTCCTGGACAAGAATCCCACGTGTTCAGGATGAGTTTGAATTGTCATGTTCTTTTTATAAGGTGGTGCTTCATTATATCTTTATTTCACTTTGAAAGTCTTTGCTCCTAGCTCAGGTAATCTCTTTTTTATGTGCTGAACTATTTTTTGGTGATTTGGGTTCTTTCTTTTTAAATTTATCATTATGTAAGAATTATCCATTCAAAACTGTACAAATGGAGAAAAGTTAAAGGAAGAAAAAAAATCACTGTAATCCTAGCTCTCAGCGGTAGTGCTGTTAACAGTGGAGGTGTGCCCTTGAGTCTAGTTTCTAAGTACTTGATTTTTCCAGAGGCTTTTCTCAGCTCCACTGTGCAGTTGCCTTCCAGGCTGCCCTTAGCTTCATTTGGGCAGAGACCATGTCCATCTATTCATCTGCTGAAAAGTGGCACTTTGCACAGATCCTGTGACACCAGAATGGTCAATATAACATTTGTAGAATAAGTGAGTTTGTGTATGTGTCTGTTAATGTTTCTGTGTTGGTGTTTAGCTCATGGTTTCCACCAGTTTCCATCTTGGTTGACCTCTGATATTCCTGACGTTTGAGTCAATAGGCTGGGGAGAGGTTAACTTTGCAGTCAGAGGTGATGTGATACTTTGCACAGGAGAGTTCTACCAACTTGACAGCCTGATCCATAGGAGGGATATGGTTTGAGTGTGTCTCCTAGGGTTTCATGTATTGCAATTTGACCTCATCGAGGGCTAGTAAGGTGGAAACTTAATCTGAACATGGTATTTAGTGTGTGTGTGTGGGGGGGTCTTTGGAAGCGATTAAGTCTAAAGTCATGAGGGTGGAGCCCCCATGACTGAATCACTAGGGCTTTATAAGAAGAGAGAGAGATCAGCTAGACACAAACATGTACCTGTTTCTCACCATAGTGGCTCAGTGCTGCCTCAGGACTTTGCTGACAAGAAGGCCATCAGCACCTGTGGCTCTCGACTTTGGACCTCCAGAACTGTGAGCCAAAATGAGCCTCTTTTCTTTATAACCTACCAGTCTGTGTTATAGAAAATGTGCTAATACCATAGGTTCTCAATTAACACATGCTGGAGGTGGCTAGTGCATGCAAGATTATTGCAAACAGTTCATGGAAAATGAAACTAAAAGATAGCTATTTTGGTGCAAAAAACAGAAATTAATGAAATTTTACTTATACTATGCTTGTTTCATGCACTTTTTGAAGATTGCTCATACACATTGATTTCAGATGTTTCCCTTGTACCAGAGTAAACTTATCTTTTAATCCCATTTTCCATGAACTTTTGAAAGTAGATCTTTTTGGATGTGCTGATGTACATGGGTAGCTAATAATCATGTCTTTGGAAATTCACCTTCTCTTTATTTTGTCTGTAATTTACAGGATAGGTTTCCAGACTACAGTTTTTGTCTTAGGTGATGCTAGGTCTCCTGATCTTGGTTTATTGGATGAAACTTGGAAACCAAATTAGGCCTTTTTCTCTTAGAAATTTCATATTCTTTTGTATGTGGCTGCCACTTTAACATATAATCTTGGAGCTGCAGGGTGTATAGACTTACCATGGAGGTTGGAAAGCCAAAATCTAGTGAGCAGAGAATCACGAAGGTTGTGTGAAGATGAGCATAACTGAGAGTTGGAAAGGTGGTCCTAATGCCCTTCCTGTCCCTTGTAGAGTTCTTTCTTCAGCCCCAGCTGTATTTCTAATATTGCATTCTCTTGTATCCTTCTCAGAAACACTCCCCTCTCTGCTTGTTTTCTGGCTAGCTTCCTTTGCTTTCTGCTACTTGTAACCAGGAAATCTAAGTAAAACACAGAACAAATTAGCTTTCTGGCAAAACTTAGCTCCTGAGGAACTTTCGTTCCTGTATTGACCCTGTGTATAATTCTCTTTTCACACTCTGCTTGGGTGTGCCATTGTATTCAGGAGCTCTCCAGAGGTGATGCCCAATTAGCTTAGGGGTGGCTCTGGACAGCTCTACTTCGGCCATAACTTATGGGGCAGCTTTCTTCTTTGGTAGGTATTGGAAAAAAGCTTAGAGATAATTACATCCAGTTCTCTTCTGAACCAAAGCTACTTTGATTTGATATTGTGCCAGGAATGGCAGCTCAGCTCTGGTGGATTCAAATGTTCTTGGAAACCTATGATTAGAATCAGGAAAACTGATAATATTTTATAACCTGCTGAGGGCAACGTTTTCCCACAAATAATGATCATAAATATCTTACATTTTCTGTAAACCTAGCTCTGAACCTGAGATGTTTTGGCAAGAATTATAGAGCATTTTGGGACTTTCATCACATGCTGCTCTCTGAATTTAGTAACTGAGTGAGTGCATTATGTACAAAATTCTTGCTTGTTTAAAGAAATAAAGAGCTATGTTTTCAAATTGAAGTCAGTTTAAAATTTTGCAGCTGTTAAGTTAAAAACAAAACCCAGACATAGTTGGGCTGAATCTACACAGCAAATGACAGGAGTAAAGGCAATTGACTGATCACACAAGGAGGAGGAGGACTTAGATGAAGGAGGTATTTAGTGGTCAGGAGATCTGGCTGTGGAGTTAAAGACAGGAGGATTGGGAGCCAGCCCTACCCTTGTCCTCCAGGTGGCCTTGAGCACCCTTGGTTACCTTTTTACTCTTCAGCCTTCTTCTCTATAGGCAGGACTGAAATAGAGCCTACCTCAAAAGGTTTGTGAAACTTAAATTAAATGGTCTATGTAGAGTACTTTGTGTACTGATAGGGTACACAATGTCAAGCATAGTGTGTATTTAGGGTCTACATGGGGTGGACTGAGGGAGGAATACCATATGATAGCATGGCCTACTGGTCATTTACAATCATCTGGAACAGATTGGGTCAAGCATACTCCTGAGAGTCATATCTGGCTGGCAACCGGTTTCTCTCTGGTTCACAATCTGAGAATGGTTTGTATATTTTAAAGATGAAAATATTAAATGAACTTCTGAGCCCTCTTCTCCTGGGAAAAACTGTCAAAAAATTCTGTGCACCCATTATTTTTTTCCTGGGGCTAACCATGTTGGCCAGTCTATCTTGGCATATCCTAAGATAAGACCCAACTTCACTTGTCCTCAAAAGTCCCCTAGAAGCCAGGGAGGACTTCCTTGTGTACCTAGCTTGTCCCAGCTCCACTTGCCTTTTTTTTTTGTTTTGTTTTGTTTTGTTTTTTTTTTTTTTGGGAGACATTTCTTGTTAATAAATCTAATGACCCTGTGTCACTAGCCTGTATAAAACCATTGCCCTCGTCCTCAACACAGGATTATTAAAGAACAAAATGAACGCATACAACAGAGACTATATGTTACCTTCTGTGCTTAAAATATTTATCATCTGACTTCATAGAGAAATTCTGCTGACTTCTGCATCCGAGATGAAGGGATCCTGGCCCACGGCTTCCCATCAGCCATGAACACACCTCTGTATACCTGTGGACCATGGTAGGTGATTCCTGGTCCACCTGAGAGACACGAGAAGATAGGAGTGGCTCGGAGTACTGCAATAAAAGATGAATATTCTAGAAATTATAACGGAGGAGAAATGGTCAGAGGTATATGTGCTGGATGTTTTTCCTATATTATACTGTTTAATCTTGTACTTGTTACAGAACAAGATACGTTTGCTGCCCATTGCTCTCTATAACTTTTAGTGATACTGGTCTTTTGAGAAGAGAAGAGAAAGCCTTTATCACTGGTAAGGAGACAGGAGAAATGATTCAAACTGACTCTCCACCGGGGGCTGGGGGAGAGTTGAGGAAAGCTTTATGGATTAGTAGGAAGTTGTGGGTTTGCAGAAACACTGGCAAGGTAAGTTCTAGTTGAAGGGGTTTGGAATTAATCAGGCTAACCTAGAGCTATCCGGTTGAGTAATTTACCTGAGAATGCACAAAATTAAAAGGGCGTGGACTGATGTAACACTTATTTAACATCCTTACATTAGTGATAAAGGTAAGTAATCATCATTTGATATTTATCCTCTCAATTTTATTGATCAGATCAATGAGTTTATGGAAAAGTCATATGCCTAGGGTCACAGAACTAATAGTTGGAATGTGAATCTAGATTGGCTCTGTGAATCTGACTTGAGAGTACACATTTTCTTTTCTAACAATGTATTATGCTCAATAATTTTAAGGGTCTCTGTGTAGCATAATGAGCAGAATTGGGTGCTTTACTAGAAAGATGGAACTTTAACAATTTAGGCTCATCCATCAGAGGGCCATATCTGTGGTTTTTCCCATGTGGCTATTTGTATATTTAAAAGCCTGTTTTCAAGATTTAAAAATCTGTAATTGTTACTACAAAATAGTTTGGTGTATACAACATAGATTTTTGTGGGATTTTGATGAGTGATTCTCAGTGGTGATTAGGATGTGAGAATGGGTCACCTTGGAGGAGAGCACAGGCAGAATAAGTTGAGGAACTTTATCATTCTAAATATTCTGAAAGGTTTTCATACTTTTGCAACTGACTCTTACATTTGGGAGTGTTCTTTAGGTTTTGGAAATGAAAAAAAAATTGAGGTAGTACTGTATTTAGACAGACATGCTGCAAATTGCTACTCATCCAGTGCTGTGGGCCAGCTTCCTGGTAAGTTCAACTAAGGAGTGCACTGGAAGGAATTGTCAAACACAGTACATTATTTACAGCAATTAAGGAGACCACAGGGCATTGTTTCCAAACTACAACTCCCCAAGCAAAGAAAAATGTGTGTCTTCTATTTTAGGGGAAACGAGTATGCAAGAGAGGAAGTTCTTGTCATTGCATGTAGGCATGGGGACAAATTTACCAGGACAGACCTGTACTGCATGTTACAGTAATAAGGCTTAAACTCCACCTGGGGCAGAGATCTCAGATTAAAGTGAAGACTTTGTGACCCATCTATGCAGGCTTTGCCTTTGTAGTAGGGTCTGGGCCAGTTCAGGATGGCTGGAGACTGCATTTCTCTCTGGAATGTAACTGTAAAACCTGGAAAAGAACTTGGGGGAACTTCAGTGAAGCACATGTTGTACCTTTTACCTCCTCCCCGCCCTATTTCCTCCCTTTAGAGATGCTTGGTGCCTAACCAGACCCTTCTCAACTCCTTGCAATGCAAATGGCAAAGCAGATAAGGGTAGCTATGAAACAGCTAAGAGGAAAGTTCCCTGAGACTTCAAACAGCCCCCTATTCTTCTGCCTGCTGCCTTTTACCCCCTCCCTCTGGTAGTGGCAAATTTCCTTCTTAACTGGATAAAAACCTGAGTTCTAAATGTATCTGGTGCAGTCTCTTCTCAAGAACAGACTGTTGCCAACCTCTTTGCTTCCAATAAGGCAACCTGTCTCTGTTGAGGTCGGTCTCTGTCTCCTTTTCTACCTCTCCTTTCTGGGGGTGTCACCAGAGAAAAAGGTGAGGGTCCTTGTCTTCACACAAGGAAGGATTCAGGCATAAGACAGAGAGCAGTGGAAAGCAAAGTAGCAAAGTTTATTAGGGTAGGGACATCGAGAAGAACGGATGGGCACCTCTCCAGACAGAACCTGAGAGAGAGTGCATAGTTCACATTTAGGCTGGGTTTACTAAGGGGATGGGTCTTGTCTTCCTGCCTTTTCTCTCCCTCTCTCTTTCTTCTCCAGAACAAAGTGTTAGGTAGGAAGTCAGAAATGAGCTTATGTGTGTGTGTGACAAGGGCCTAAGGAATTGACATCTACTGCGGTCCGGTCCAGCATCTGCATCTCAATGTCACCCCAGTAACATTCCAGGTGCTGCCCAGTATCTGCACCTCAAAGTCCCGCCCAGATGATGACCTTCCAGGGAGTCCTGACCCTTCTACCTGGCCTGATAAACATCCTTCCTCTAAGGTGGGGTGATGCCAGCCAGGCTTCCCCTGTCTGATAATTTCAGGGAAAACTTCAGAAAGAAATTTTTCGTATTTACACTCAACAAGTCCTTTGTTTGGGAGGAGGAGAAGGAGAAGGGGAGAGAAAAGGCAGGAAGGCAAGACCCATCCCCTTATTTTTATTTTTTTTATTTTTTTTAACTTATTTAATGAATATAAATTTCCAAAGTACAGCTTATGGATTCAATGGCTTCCCCCCCATATCGTCTCTCCCACCCGCATCCCTCCCCTTTCCCACTCCCTCTCCCCTTCCATTCACATGAGGATTCATTTTCGATTCTCTTTATCTACAGAAGATGAGTTTAGCATACATTAAGTAAAGATTTCAACAGTTTGCTCCCACACAGAAACATAAAGTGAAAAATAATAGATGATTTTTTAAATGATGATGAAATCAGATCAGACCTATTGTCATGTTTAATCCCAGTGAGAGTCAAGTTGGGAATTGCTAATTTCTTCTTCTTCTTCTTTTTTTTTTTTTTTTTTTTACAGAAGATCAGTTTAGTATACATTAAGTAAAGCTTTCAACCGTTTGCACCCCCATAGAAACACAAAGCGAAATATACTGTTTGAGTACTCATTATAGCATTAAGTCTCAATGTACAGCACATTAAGGACAGAGATCCTACATGAGGAGTAAGTGCACAGTGACTCCTGTTGTTGACTTTACAAATTGACACTCCTGTTTATGGCATCAGTAATCTCCCTATGCTCCAGTCATGAATTTCCAAGGCTATGGAAGCCTTTTGAGTTCACTGACTCTTATCTTGTTTAGACAAGGTCATATTCAAAGTGGAGGTTCTCTCCTCCCTTCAGAGAAAGGTACCTCCTTCTTTGAAGACCTGTTCTTTCCACTGGGATCTCACTCACAGAGATCTTTCATTTAGGGTTTTTTTTTTTTTTTTTTTTTTTTTTTTTTTGCCAGAGTGTCTTGGCTTTCCATGCCTGAAAAACTCTCATGAAGACCCATCCCCTAAAAAACCCCAGCCTAAATGTGAACTACGCACTCTCAGGTTCTGTCTGGAGAGGTGCCCATCTGTTCTTACGGATGTCCCTACCCTAATAAGCCTTGCTATGTTGCTTTCCACTACTCTGTCTCACGCCTGAACCCTTTCTTTTATTTATTTATTTATTTATTTATTTTGACAGGTAGAATGGACAGTGAGAGAGAGAGACAGAGAGAAAGGTCTTCCTTCTGCCGTTGGTTCACCCTCCAATGGCCGCCGCGGCTGGTGCACTGCGACCAGCGCACCGCGCTGATCCGATGGCAGGAGCCAGGAGCCAGGTGCTTCTCCTGGTCTCCCATGGGGTGCAGGGCCCAAGCACTTGGGCCATCCTCCACTGCACTCCCGGGCCACAGCAGAGAGCTGGCCTGGAAGAGGGGCAGCCGGGACAGAATCCGGCGCCCCAACCGGGACTAGAACCCGGTGTGCCGGTGCTGCTAGGCGGAGGATTAGCCTAGTGAGCCGCGGCGCCGGCCTTGAACCCTTTCTTGTGCAAAGACAAGGACCCTTTGCTTCTCTGGTAACAAAGGACTTGTTGAGTGTAACTACAAAAATAATCCTTTCCAAGTTTTCTGCTAAAGTTGTCAGACAGAGGAAGCCTACCTGGCCTTGACCAAGGGGCTTCTCTCTAGGGTGCCCACCTTAGAGAAAGGATGTTTGTTATATATTAATGTTAGCTGTCACAAAGCACACTGAACACCGGAGTAAGGGAAAGGGTTTATTGGGGAACACCCCACAGACCGGAGTGAAGGGGTGGCGAAGGGAAAGAGAGAATAAGAGAGAAACATAGAGGAGAGGAGCTAGCAAGGACAGAAGAGAGAGAAGAGAGATGAGAGGAGCCAAGAGAGAGGAGAGAGCAGAGAGGAGCTGAGAGAGAGCCAAGAGACCAGAGGAGGAGGCTAGAGAGAGGAACCAAGAGAGCACAGGAGAGAAGGGCCAAGAGAGTACTTGTTTAGGAACAGGCCCTTTTAAAATTGCCCGAGGGCAGGCAGGGAAGCAGGAGCATCAAATCCCATTAGGATGGGGGTGGAACCTGGCACAGGTAGCTCGGCCATGTGGCCACCTAGCTAAAACTGTGCCAGTTTCCTAACAATGTTTATTAGGCCAGGTAGAAGGGGCAGGACCCCTGGAAAGTTATCAGGGTCTGGGTAGGACTTTGAAGTACGGATACTGCACCTGGAAGGTTATCAGGGTGACTTCGAAATGCGGATGCTAGATTGCTGTAAATGTCAATTTCCTTAGGTCCGTCTGATTTCAGACTTCCTACCTAATGGGGTACCAAAGGCCAGAACCTGGAGCTATTCCAAACCTAGCAATGAGGTACTTTGGGAGGCTTAGGGCCTTGAAGTCACAATGAAAACTTTTTCAGCTGACCTAAGGATATTAGCTGGTGAGAAAAGTACAACTTAAAAATTATCGGCTGGTGCTGCGGCTCAATAGGCTAATCCTCCACCTAGTGGCGCCGGCACACCGGGTTCTAGTCCCGGTCGGGGTGCCGGATTCTGTCCCTGTTGCCCCTCTTCCAGGCCAGCTCTCTGCTGTGGCCCGGGAGTGCAGTGGAGGATGGCCCAAGTGCTTGGGCTCTGCACCCCATGGGAGACCAGGAGAAGCACCTGGCTCCTGACTTCGGATCAGCGCGGTGCACCGGCCACAGTGCGCTGGCCATGGTGGCCGTTGGAGGGTGAACCAATGGCAAAAAGGACCTTTCTCTCTGTCTTTCTCTCACTGTCCACTCTGCCTGTAAAAAAAAATTATCAAGGGGCAGATGTAGAGCAGTGGGTTAAACTGCTACTTGTGACACCTGCATCCCCTACTGGAGTGCTTGGTTCCTGTTACTGCTACTCGGCACTTCTGATCCAGCTTCCTGCTAATGTACTTGGGAGGCAGTGGCTAACAACCCAAGTGCTTGGGTTCCTGCCACCCACATGGGCAGGAATTAAGATAGAGTTCCTGACTCCTGGTTTCTGCCTGGTCAGCCTGGACTGTTTGTGGTGGTTGGGAAGCAAACCACCAGGTGGAAGAACTCCGTCTGTCTTTCCTTCTCTGTTACCCTGTCTTTAAAATGAACAAATACAACTTAAAAAAAAAATCAAAACTCTAAGGGCATTTTGAATCCGAATCTGTAATACTAATGGTATCATTTTCTCCTTTTTAAACATACTGAATATTGTTTTTCAACTTCACTTTTATTTTGTTTTCAAACATCCATATACCTTGAAACTGTTAGGTAGGAAGTCAGTTATGAGCTTATGTGTGTGTGACATAAAGGCCTAAAGAGAAGACATCTATGTCCAGCATATGCATCTGCATCTCTAAGTCATCCTGACAATGTTTCAGGGGCAGCCTGGTATTCACATCCTGCCCTGCCCCCTTCTACCTGATAACCTGCCAGGTGGAGGTCCCCGCCCCTTCTGCCTGACAAATCTTTCACAATCTCCCAGGTGCAGCCCAGTATCTGCACTTCAAACACCCTGCTCTGGATCCCCATTCTCTAGGGGGTCCTGCTCACCCTTCCTCTGAACCCAGGATGGTGCCAGCTAGGCTTCCTCCTGTCTGATACCTTCAGGGGAAAACTCAGATAGAAGTTTTTCTATTTACATCCAAAAAGCCCTTTGTTCCAACAGGAGCAGAGGTGGGGTAGCAAGACCCATCTCCTTAAAACCCTCAGCCTCAACCGGATGGCATGCTCAGCCCTCTGCCTCTCTGCTGAGCTACCCGCCTGGTCTGGCCAGGTGTACTCTCTCTACTCAACCATGCAACCTCACCCCTCCCCCCACCAGTCTGAGTGACTGCGCACTGTCTCTCAGGTCCTGTCTGGAGAGGTGCCCATCCATCCTTATGGATGTCCCTTCTCTAATAAACCTTGCTATTTTACCTCCCACTACTCTCTGTCTCACGTCTGAATTCTTTCTTAGGCAAAGTCAAGAACCCTGCAATTTCTCCGGTAACATTTTTGGCGACCACGGAGGGACTTTGAGAAGACATCGGAGGTCAGTATTCCTTCCCTCAAGCTGTACTGGATCTGTGGAAGTGACCGTTGAGTGTCCGGCACCCCACAGCTCTCCAAGAACGCGGAGTCACCCCGGTCACGGCTTAGCTATGGCTGAAACTCCAGAAGGATTGTAAGGAACAGGAGGGAAATTAGGAAGGGCAGTTGGCTGAGAGCCTGGAGACCCCCTGAGCTCGCTTTGGCTTCCAGCGGCCGGACTGTGACCCGAGGACCAGGTCTTTCTCTTGGAGGGAAACCTGGTCACACTGCCTGCTGCTATGCGAGCAGGGCTTAGCTTCGGTCGAGGCTAGTATTGGCCCTCCAGGTAAACTCAGACAACTGGGTAGTGGGTAACCTTGAATGATAGATTTTGAACCCCACTAAGCCCCCAGACATGAGGGCCTTTCCCTATGCTCTCCTCCAGCTGAGATTCATAGGGGAAGGTGAGTGCACATCTTGTCCTCTGTTGCTTTCTGCCTTCCTCCTCCTCCTGGGGCTCCCTCCCCCACTCTTTTGCTCTCCTCATCTCCATTCCTATAGCTGGCCTGGAGAAAGGGAGAGAGAAATTCCACAGGTCTCTGCACCTAAAGGAAAAAGCTGTTACCTGTTAACCCTTTCCAACCTGGTAGAAGGTTTTCCATCTTTGCAGCTTATGGTAGCTCTGATGCGTCTTGAAGTTTTTGTGCGCTGTTACTGTTGCTAAGCTTTGATTGTCTGAGGACTGAATCTGGAAAGGAGCTAAAGTTAACTATCTGTTTTAATTGACTGAGTGTTTGCAGTAGTCCTGATTGATCTGGCTTTGGTTGAATTATAGGAGGTTCCCAGCACTCTTGGTGAAACGGCGCACCTACCAACCCCAGGGCCAGTCCTGCTAGGCCCCAGCTAGTGCAGTCTTCCCCGTAAATGGGGGACCACAGCCTTTCTCTGCACTCTATTCCAGTCCACGTGGCCTGCCACACCCAGGCAGGCATAGCCAGCTATCTCCAGGGAGAGCGCCCCCAGGGCTGCTTTTTTCCTCCCCTGGAGGAATTTTCAATTCAATACTACTGCTGGCTTTACCTAAGGGAGCAAGAACCTTAATCCATTAACCCTTTCCAACCTGATGGGTTTTTCTCTTTGCAGTTAATGGAAGCCTAAGCAATGGGCTCATATGCTGATGACTAGTTCTTTTCTGTGCTGCTTTCCCTGACTTATCTGAGAGCGTTTACCTGTCTTGAAGTTTTCGCATTTTTTTATTGCCATTATGAGTCTTGATTGGGAAAACTGCAACGCGAAGTTGTTTACGTTAAACTGTTTGACTCTCTGACAGCTTGAATTCTAAACCGAGTCTTCCAACTTTGGGCTTCCAGTCGATCCCTGGAACTCTCAAAGGATGAGACTCTAAAATTTGTTAAAATAACAGCTGTTTGAGTCAATTCAGATTATGTGAAATGTATTAAAATGTTGTTAATGGTGTCAGACTTCATGTTTTTGCTTTCCAGCTAGAGTGGTCTTATGAAAATGAGAGTAAATTCTGTGTATACAAGTCTTTATGTTAACAAAAGTAAGCCAGTACAGATTGGTTCAGAGAATTGAGTTAATGCAAAAGCCCTTTGGTTTGCTGGTGGCTCACTTGCTCAGTTTTACATGTCTTTGATATGCTTTAAACTTGTTTCTGTTAACAATGAAGATCTTTTCAAAGTTGTAAATATGCACTAGTGCCCTGTTGCTGCTCAGGTGTTATCCTTATGTTACTTAAAAGCATGGGAAATGTAATTTTGACTTTTAATTCAGATAATAGTGTGGTAGTCATTAATAACTCAGTGTTTTAAGTTTTCTAGCATCGGTGCTAAGTAAAACTTGGGAAAATGTATTGTGTGTACTTTTAACATCTCAAATTCTATGAGAGACTGTTTGAGTTTAATTAGCATGTATTCTCATAGGTTGTCCATACATGACAATTCAAGACTATGTAAAAGTAACTACGGGTGTAAAGTTTCAGAAGGTGTGAGCAAGTCATGAAAAGTTTTCAAATGTATATGATTTTAAAATATTGTTTACAGAGTTTTCTTTAAGTTGAGTGCTAATGCCAAACTTACACTGACCTAAAGTTGAAGTCTGATCTTCTGTTATAACAATGGGGTTTTTAAAAAATGTGCATTAATGTTAGTAAATATCTGGAAATGGTCTAAATCATAAATCTTGGAATCTGTTTTTGCAAAAACTGTAACGTCTGTTTTAACAGTGTCTGCTTAATCGGTTACTCTGCCATTTCTAGAGTTAGGTCCCGTAAGCTCTTTTTGACTCTTAAATAGTTCTGAATTATGTGAACTCTTATGTGCAAGGTTTTTTATTTCTGGTTTATTGGACAACAAGAGACATAGAATTCATGTTTTGCCAAAGTAATCTATTGTGTACTCTACTGTCTCTGTTAAGTTCAGATTGATGCAAAGCATTGTTAAATATCATTATGATTAGATCTGGTCTAAAAGTGTTAAAATCACCCTAAATGAATGGCTATCATTTCAGAATGTTAAGGAATTCTATTTTGACCAGATACTCTAAGTTCTCTTGGCACCTTTAACAGACTTTCTGAAAATCAAAGTTCTAAATTATCTGGACTTTTGGTATCTCCAGAGGGACCCTGGAGATGTCAAAAGATATATCTCTCATCTTGCAGAGATAATAACCAATCAGGCTGTTTAGATTAAAAGTGGTGCCAAGATGTGAAATGATGCTAAACTTCAGTTATAAATGTGTTTCTTTCTAGCTGCTCCAGTCTCTGGCTCAGAAGTCAGATTCTTTAAAGAGGGACTGACAAAGTCTCCATCCAGCTAACACTGAATAACCAGGCATTGCTAGTTCAAATGTGGATCAAACGGGAGGTCTAGCCAAAAGGGAGAAAGTGTTCCAAAACAGACTTGGAGATGATTGGAGATGGTTATGCGGCAGATGCTAGAGAACTGGGTTCCAGGAGCGCAAGAAAACTCTAGTGTCCACAGGCTACACGGTGAAAGCCCGGAAGCCCAAAACCTAAACTTATGGGTTACACGGTAAGACTAGTTAAACCCGGAAACCCAGGCCCATAACCCACTGGCTACATGGTAAATATCCGGAAGCCAAAGGATGGCAGAGACCTCTGCCACAATTTCTCCTCTAAGTCAGGCTACACAGTAAGCACTGGTTAAACCACCAGTTAAATCTGAAAGCCCAGGAAGTCAGGCTAGAGACCCAACTTGCTGCCTCACTTCTCCTCTTTTCTCTTCCAGAAGGGAAGTTACTACTGTTCTGCAGGACTCTCCACTGTGATGTATGGTTTGATCCCCAGACCTTATGTAAGGGACGACCGACCTTTTCTGTAATAATGCCTGGCCACAGTATAGAGGACCAAACAGCATAGCCAGAATAAGAGGTTAAAATATGACAGCTAGATTGATTTTTCAGTGTACGCAGTAAATGGGCAGAACTCTCCTTTTAAACCAAACTGAGGGATAGATAGGAAGTTGCACTGATGACCTCAAAGTATGTATGCAAGCAGGTCACCACAGTTGATCTTACCTAAAAGGTCATAGTTCTCCTCATGGGCACGGTCTTAACTCGCAGGAAAATACTAAGTGTCAGAATTTGCCCATGACCATAGTTTTTCTAGCTCACCCTGATATTAAAAAGATCTCCAAAAATCAGGGTTGGGTTGAACACCCCCTTGACTGACATCATAGAGGCTGCTTCCTTGGTCTACTTTATTAGAGACCAGGAGAACAAGGAGCAAGCAAGCAGCAGAGGATAGGCAACAGGCCAATCAATGGCTGCTTTTCACGGTGATCTGCCGTCAAGGAGACCCAGCAAGGCCAATGCACCCCAAACTGCACCCGTTGCTGATATAAGGAGCCAGGGCATTGGGCAAGCAGCTGTCATGACAGCAAATGCCTTCCGTCAGCTCTGCCAAGAGCATGGCCACTGGACACGGAACTGCCCTGAGTGTCGAAGGACTCCTGGTTCAGAACCACAGACCCTGTGGCCCCGAGCTAAAAAGTCTTTGACTCTGCCCAGCTTCCAGCTCCAGCCACTGCTATTGAGGGGATGGCCTAGGGTCAGTGAAACGCAAGCTGGCTATTTCTATCAGCCTCCTATTCAGCTCTCCTCCTAGTCCAGTCATGTAATGCAAGTCAACAGGGTGCCTCCCTTAAAGGAGATTTGCATCTCTTGCAATTCTCTTCCAGCACCCCATGGATAGGTCTGGGCCTCACACACCCAGGCAGGCCTTAAAAGTCTATCCAATAGTATTAAGCTTAGAAAGCCCTCCCTGCCAGTTCCTAAAAACAGGGCTTTTAGTAACAGCTAACTCAGATAGTCCTGCACCTATTTGGACAGGTCCTCACTGAGGACTTAAAGGGCCTATCTCTTGAGGGGGGTGCACAATAATCCATAATGTAGATGGTTAAATGTAAATGATTTGTTAGTCTGTCTCCTTTCCCAGCCTGAGACTCTACTCTTGTACATTGGCTTAACTTCCTAGCAAAACTAGCTACTAGGTATCCAGAGGAAAACAAAGCATTGCTAGTCCATTAGAGTGTTAATTATTTAACCCTTATCCTCACCCCTGGGGAGAGAAAACCTGCCCCAGAGAAAATATGGGCCATTCAGCAAATTCCTACTTCCACAAACTTCAGGCAGTCCCAGTTTTCTCTATCAGGTTCCTAGATACAGGAAAACAGCACAGTTCCTAAACCAGGCTCTTGACAGGCAGCCAAAGCAGAGCCCCCTCCTTTGGGGGAAAAGAGCAAACCACAGCCTTTGCTCAGCTAAAGGATGCTATGACTAAAGCCCCTGTGCTAGGACTGCCACACCCAGGGAGACCCTCCCAGCTGTACATCACTGGGAAGCAGGGAGTCACCTTAGGAAGGTTAACTCAGGATCTGGGACCTGTTAAGCAACCTGTGGGCCACTTTTCTAAAACCTTAGACATGGTTGCACAAGGATGGCCTCACTGCCTAAAGACAATGGCAGCATCTACCTTGCTGACAGAGGAGGTATCTAGAATTACAGTGGGACAAGATATCGCCCTTTATACCCCACATCAAATAAATTCTCTACTAGAGCAAAGGGCTCTCACTGACTCACAGATAGCAGAATACTAAAATATCAGGTCCTCCTTCTAGAAAACCCTCAGGTGAAAATAAGGCATTGCTCTACCCTAAACCCAGCTACTTTAATGCCAGTTCCAGGGGAAAGTGGCCCCCTCCACTCTTGTACTGAGACTATAGACTTGATCTATGCCAGCAGAAGGGACCTAAAAGACAGCCCCCCAACACAGATGAGGTTTGGTTCACAGACAGAAACAGTTTTGTTAGGACCTGCTTCTCAGGGTATGCAACAGTTACGATATGGCATGTTATTGAAGCATGCTCTGCCCCCAGAAACTTTTGCTCAGTTAGCAGAACTGATCACTTAACCAGAGCTCTAGAACTAGGTAAGGACATGAGAAAATAACTCCCAGGGGTCTATACAGCAAAAGGGAACTTACCTCGGGGAAGACTGGCAAGTAGATTTTACACAGATGCCACTCTGTCAAGGCTATAGGTACCTGCTTGTACTTATAGACACCTTTACTGGATGGGTAGAAGCCTTCCCAACCAGAACTAAAAGAGCTCAGGAAGTGACCAAAACTCTCCTGAATGAAGTTATTCCACGCTTTGGTCTCCAAAATTCTTTGCAAAGCGACAATGGGTCTTCCTTCATCTCCCAGACTATACAAGGGATTTGTAAGGCCCTAGGAATAACCTGGCCCCTTCACTCTCCCTGGAGACCTCAGTCTTCTGGTAAGGTAGAGAGAGCCAACCAGACTCCATGGAAAACACCACAAGTATAAGGTAAGGAAGGTTAAAAAGGAAAGATTGTTCTTGGTAATGAAGGTTAGAAGGAAAGAGTTTTTTTAAATAAGGAAAGGACATGGTTTGTAAGAATCCTGATGGCTAGTTTACTCTAGACTGGAATGGAAATGATGGAATGTTTCAAGTAAGTTGAAGAGGGTGTGTGGAAGTCACAAAAGGTTATGAAGGAAAAATATTGGACATGCTAACTGCTGCTCCGAGAGGTATCTGTGCCATGTTCCAGGAAGAATGTTGTCTCTGGGTCAATCAGACTGGACAGGTACAAACCCAAATTTGTACTTTTCCTGGACAAAGCCAAGCACCTCCAGGGCCAGGCCAAGCAGGGCTGGGATTTCTGGCCTGAAATCTGGTCATGGAAATCCTGGCTATTTCCTCTCCTTGGCCGAGTAACTTCTGTAATCTTACTGCTTCTCTTTGGACCGTGTGTTTTTAATGCCCTTGTTTGTCTCTAACAGACTAAAAGCTGTCAAACTCCAAATGGTTGTCACACAAGGCTTCCAGCCCATTCCATTGGATGACCTGAACAGCCCTCTGGACCAAGCAGGACAGTCTTTCCAAGGCCACTGTTGCACACCATAAGACAGATAGCAAGAGGAAATACCCAAATCCTCCTCGACGGTGACATGCCAGCTTCGAAGAAGTTACAGAAAACGGAATTCCACCCATAATCCCAATTTGGGTTTTACCTCTTG